CTCAACACAAAGTGTCTTGGATAGTTGAAGGAGTCAGTCCTTGATTCTTAAAACAAAGTGCCTTGGACAATGGAAGGAACCAGTCCTTGGTCCTTAACACAAAGTATCTTGGACAGTTGAAGGAGCCAATCCTTAGTCATTAACACAAAGTGTCTTAGACAGTTGACGGAGCCAGTCCTTGGTCCTCAACACAAAGTGCGAGACAGTCCTTGATCCTCAACACAAAGTGTCTTGGACGATAGAAGGAACAAGTCTTTGGTCCTTAACACAAAGTGTTTTGGACAGTTGAAGGAGACAATCCTTGGTCCTCAACACAAAGTGTCTTGGACAGTTGAAGGAGACAGTCCTTGGTCCTTAAATCAAAGTGCCTTGGACGATGGAAGGAGCAGGTCCTTGGTCCTCAATAAAAGTGCATTGGATGGTGAAAAGTGGCAGTCCTTGATCCTCAATGTGTATGAAGGTTTGTGATTTTAAGTTTACTCATAAGCATATATTTTCTGAACTCATAAAATAATTGCAACAAAAAAAATTTAACATCTACACGAAAAAAATCTTGAATTTCAAAATCTTTGATTTGCTCCAAAGAATTGAAATCCTGCATAAAAAAAATTAAAAAAAAAATGTTAGTTTCAACTTTATTAAAACAAAAATACAAAATAATAATAATAATAATAATAATAATAATAATAATAATAATAATAATAATAATAATAATCAACCCAACAAAAAAAAAGACAAGTGAGGTGAGAGTTAAAAAAAAAAAAGGGAGGAAAACGAGGTACTACCGTCAATTGGGATTATTTTGGTTTCCACAGGAAATCATTAAAAAAAATAAAATGAAAAGAGGAAACCAATATTTTTGGTTTTTGCTATTGCAGAAAGTGAGAAAACCAAAGTCAAACTTTGGTTCTGCCGTTACAGAAACCACCAAAGCCAAACTTAATGGCAGAAACGAAATGAATTGCGGTGAAACTATTAATTAAAAAAAAAAAAAAAAAAGAGCATAAACGTTTCTGCCATTCATGGAAACTGAGGAAAACCATTCCAATTGTGAAAATTCCAATTGAATAATGGAATCAATTGGAATTGTTACCAATTTCGAGACAGTGGTTAAGAATTAAAAAAAAATAAAAAAAAAATAGAGAGAGAGGTGAAAGAGGCGATAAAATAAATAAATAAATAATATTTACCTTTGTTTGTAAAGTTAATTCACTAGTGTCAAAATCTTATAATTCGTTCGTATAAATAGGTAACTATCGAACTTCACTTAAGCACAATTTACCATGAAACATAAAAAGCCTATTCAAATTAAATTTGTTATAGGTCTATAAAATAAATAAATAATCAAAATTCGATAAAAAAAATTCTTATTCTCAAATTTGAAGGATAAATTTTTTATCAAATTCTTATCTTATTCTCAAAATTTTCGTCTGTATTAATTTACTAACGAGAAATTTGAGTTCAAATCAAATCCTAAATTAAAAAATAAAATAAAATCAGGAAATTCAAAAAATCAAAATTTGTTAATTTATTTATTTCATAATAAATAAATAAATCTTGAGGGGGCATTTGTAAACATAAAAAATAATAAGTAAATAAAATAAAATGGATTGGGTCGATTTAAATCATTAGCCCAATTAAATCTTAAGTCTACTAAAGTTCATAAAAACCCAAAAGCCCATACCACATTTTAAATAAATAAACAAACAAATAAATAAAACTATGATTACTCAATTATCTCTTTTAATTAAATATAATTGAGTAATTACCAAAATTAGCTCGAATCCTCTCCTATAAATAAGATCAATGGTCCATAAGACGGACACCAAAAGCAAGCAAGAAAAAAGCAGAGAACGTCACGAAGTGTTGAAAAAATTCCAAAATCAGAAGAAGGGAAGGATTCCCCTCAAATCCAAATCCGATGAACCGTAAGAAGATTAAAATCTTCTTTGAATCAAACAGGTTCACGCCAAGTCCAAGAAGATCAAAGTCTTCTTCAAATCAAATCAAATTCAAGTCCAAGTCTAAACCCCAAAGTTCAGGTTCCAAACAAGTCAAGTCTTGATAAATCGAATTTTCAATAAATTCTTAAAGACCAGGATTCAAGCCACATGACAACTCGTCTTTAAATATTTAGATCATTAATCAGAGAATTTTACAATTTTACAATTACAAAAAGGTCAACATCATCACTTGTATTTATCAAAATACAATTTGCAACGATTTCTGTATTTTAATACACGAGATTTTGTTGTACACCTCCATCTATGATTGGAGGTTTCTTCAGATTAAAATTAAAAATAAATATTATTTTTTAATTAAGAGTGAAAAAATTACGTTTTAAAAATAATTTAAAATTCTTATTAAATCAAAAGAAAATTATTTATAATATGAAGAAAAAAGAAATTTTAAAATAATTTTCAAAAAGTTTATAATAAAAACAAAACAAATTAAACAAAAGAAAGTTACAAAAATTAAATAAAAAATATATAAATATTATTTAATTAAAATTAAAAAAAATTAAGTTTTATCATGGAGAGAAAAGAATTAAAAAGAATTTTAATTCGAAAAAAATTATTTTTAACATGAACAAAACAAAAAAATAAAAACGAAAAATAAAATCTAAGATGGAGAAAATAGACCCCAAACCTCCATCCATGATAGAGGTTTTCTCCGAAACCTCCAATCATGGACATAGGTTTTCGCAATTGAGCAAATTATAATTTTGAATTTTTTTATTTTTGGAAAGAAAGGAAAGAAGATGAAGAAAAGCAAATGAATGGAAAGGAATGGCCACTCGAGTGAAAAAATGGAGAAATGGTATGGCTACGCCTAGTTCACCCAACACAATAAATATAAATAAAAGTACATGACGATATATATTGGCGACACGTGTCTAGCCAATACCTTCGCTCTTTTATATATATAGGATATTCACAAATCACACTTCTCGATTTCTCATTGCCAAAAACTCTAAAGTCGTTGGAGATGACGACTTACGACACGATTCCGACGTCTTTATCGTTTGTGCCAGCCACTAAGGGTTTGACAATTGAGTACCTAATACATGCCAAGGAAGGTCTTGGCACGTGTTGCTCATGGCAACAAATGCTCAACTTCCACGTCTTCAAACTCCCGAACTCCAAGCATGACGCCGTTTCCCAGATCAAGCAAACGTTGCCTATTTCGTGATGAACGACGCGATTGTGGTTCTATTGCCATATTTTTCTCCATGAATAATTCTGCAAGTACAAAAGAAAAGAATTTGTACATGTACTACGTCTGTATGGCTATTTTTCTTTTATATTTGAATTAAACTATTTGTACAATGTTGGAGGTGGCGAAATTCGGACCAATGATTTAAAAAACAATTTTTGACAATTTTAAAAAATGGATAGATGTGATGATGCCAACAAAGATTGTCATATATGATTGTACAAATAAGATCGTACAAATAGTATAGTCTTGTCAAGAGTGAATTGTCCAAATGGTCATTGAAATTTGTAAAAAGTTTTCAAGGGGTCATTTAACTTTAAAAATCACATAAATGATCACTGAACTTTACAAAAGATTTTTGCGGGATTACTGAACTTTTAAAATCACCTAATTGATTACTGAACTTTACAAAAGGTTTTCACGAGGTCACTGAACTTTGCGAAAGGTTTTCACGGGGTCACAGAATTCTGTGACCCCGTGAAAACCTTTCGCAAAGTTCAGTGACCCCGTAGAAACTTTTTGCAAAGTTCAGTGACCATTTAGGTGATTTTTAAAGTGCAATGATCCATTGAAAATTTTTTGCAAAGTTCGGTGACCATTTGGACAATTCACTCTCTTGCCAATGATAATCTGCCAAGTGTTGATTTGTATGAGTTCTGTAAAAAAAAATTGTACGTCTAGAATTGTTCTTCTCTCCCTTCTGTGGCACCCAATTTTCCTCATCGTATTGGTGGTGATAACAGCTGCCTGACTTTACTTATATTCCTCCGCGACAAGCCGATTATGATCTTCGACAGAATGATTAGTGATGAAAATGTTTTGATTGGTTTATCGATTATTACAATCGTTCTTTTACTGTTGATTGGTGCCACTACAAATGTTTTATCCTCGTTGTTGGTCAGTGTAGTGTTGATTCTGATTCAAGCCTTTGTGAGGAAAACCAATGATCTATGCATCGATCCGGAGGCTGCCGGAGGTTTATTGTGGCCTCCAGCCTCCAGGTAGTGATTTGCTCCTCAGTTCTTCCAAGTGAATTACTCAAATGGTCATTAAACTTTGTAAAAGATTTCCACAAGGTCTCTGAACTTTAAAAATCATCAAATTTATCACTGAACTTTGCAAAGGTTTCCACAAAGTCACTGAACTTTAAAAATCACCACATTCAACACTGAACTTTTCAAAAGGTTTCTCATGGATAACTAAATTTGAGTAATTCACTCCAGTTCTTCCTTTCGTGATCTTCGGTAGAACAATTAATGTTCTTGTCGTGTTGATTTCTCCATCGTTGACTACAAATTGTTCTTCTGATATTCACTCACGCGACCACTAATGTTGGTCGGAGCAGTGGTGATAAGTGTATTTCATACACTTATTTGATGCCTAAAATAACGATGTTTAATAGTTCTTTTGACAAAATATATCCTAAATTGTTATATTTTATGTTTAATGGGTAAATTCTATGGATGGAAAAATGAATTGAAGGAAAGAAGCAAAAATTGACAGAAAATGGTAAAATTCAAAGTATGAGGACTACATTGCATTAACTTGAAAGATTGGATGGCTTGATGGAAATAATAAATTAATTGGGCCTTAAGTGGACGTGGAATTGGAGTCAAATTGCATAAATAATTGAGGTTTTAATGGGATTCCAACAGGATTTGGGGGGCCGTCTAGAGTCCTTTTGAAAGTAAACTATTGGGCTGCTAGGTTAATCTTGTGCTGGAGGAATTAAAGGGGCAGCCAATATAAATACACGTGCAGACCTAGAAAAAAAGGAGAGAGCTGGTGGGGAGAAAATTGGACTCCAATTTGGAGTCAATTATTGCGCTCTACCATGCAGAAAACCGAGAGGAGGAATAGAAGCTGCCAGCTGTTGTCATTATATTTACACACACACAAATAGACGGTAGCTTGGTAGGCAAAATTAAGGAGACTCCAGCTGGGATTACAATTAATTGGAGGCAGCAACTTTGAGAAGGATAATTACACGCTTGCTGGGTACTGAAATTAATCTGAAAACACACAGAAATTCAACCGGCTGTTTGAGGAATTAATTGGCAGTAGCTTGGGTTCTCTCCAAAGTCAATTATTGCATTTGTTAAGAGATTAAATTGGTAACAGCATGGCAGTGGACGGTTGGATAGAAAAACGGCAAACGACAGATTTACTTCGAAAATTATTAATGTTTCGCCAATTCCCGGTGATGTCTTCCATAATTTCTCGTTTTTCTTCGATTATTATGAGTAGTTAAATTTGATTTTAGGGCGAACAATGTAATCTTTTGGAATCCTTTATTTCATACAATTGAGATTCTAGTGCTTTTATATTTTATGTGTTGATTTTAATGTCATTCTTAATGCATTTAATTACTTGATCACTAATTAGATGATTTATGAACAATGATTGCGTAGAGATGCGGATTATTTGTTTAGACCACATGTTAAAATTCGGTAAATTGATATAACATGTAGAGATATCTATATTGATTGCTCCGGTCGTGTGTGAATTCTTAGAACCAATGTTTCGTTTAATTAAATTTACTTTGCATAGAGATATGGAATTGAACTAATTAAATAGGCTCAACGAGAACTCGAGAGGGGTAAGTTGAATATAATAGAAGAATTCGACCAAACACTACTTTAGGTTTTATGAATCTTGATTTATGAAATAAAGGTGACCAATAGGTGAAATTTTTCCGACCTAACGTCCATTTATTGTTTGAATTCTCAATCACTTTTCGTTGCATCCAATCGCATTTTTAAGTATTTAAAAAAAATCACATTTAATCATTGTTTTTGTTTATTTTCGTCAAATAGAAGTTAGAAATAATAAATTGAGTATTAAAAGTATAGTCCGCGTGGGAACGATAATCCGGACTCAAAAGGTCTACTTTACTACTTGTTACGATCCGTTCATTTGCAGGATAAAATCGACAACAAGTTTTTGGCGCTGTTGCTGGGGATTATTATTTTTAGTCTTAATTTATTTATTTTATTTTTCTATCTTATTTTTAATTGTTATTTGATTTGCTTATTTTCTTTTATTTACAGAAAACTGTGTTTGTTGTATGCTCCGTGACCAAGGCGACGATCTTGAACTTTGTGATTCGAAAATAGAACGTACCTTCAGACGAAGACACAGGGAACACAAACAAAAACAGAAACATCAAATTGTTGATAAACTAAACAATCCTAACCCTATATAGCCAATTGGACAAATGGCCGCGAGAGCTCAACAGTAAGAGCAAAGGGAAGTAAATGAAGGGGACTTGCCAATTTCTATGTTTTTGATGCCTATAGCAGCACCCGCGCAGTCCAGCATAGTATATCCAGATTTTGGGGTAAACAACTTTCAGATACGGGCTGATTGGATTAATTTGATGAGCAACACTCTACAATTTTACGGGTTACCTCATGAGAATCTAAACACACATATCTCAAGATTTCTCAGGAATTGCCAGAATTGTCATGCTCCTGGGGTTAATGAAGACGCTATCAAGCTGCGATTATTCCCATATACACCGAGAGATGCATCATTGGAATGGCTGGATGCCGAATCAGATGGAAGTATTACCACATGGGAGGAACTGCTAGGAAATTCTGCAATAAGTTCTTTCCACCAGTTAAGGTAGCAAAAATCAGACTGAAAATTCAAACTTTTCAACAGAGAGACGGGGAGAGCAATCAGGAGGCATGGAACAGATTTAAGGAGTTGATAAGGAAGTGTCCAAATCATGGGATCACTATTGGAAATCAAGTGCAGTATTTTTACACGGGACTTTCACCACTGTCCAAATCTTAAGTGGATTCCTCTGCAGGTGGATTGATCATAGGAAAATCAGTGCAGTAATGTATGGATCTATTTGAGTTGATTGCTACTACGCATTCCATGTTTTCATCAGAAAGAGTTGTGCCTCCAAAAGCAGCGAGAATATATTAATTAGACAGCACAGTATCTACCAACGCCCAAATAGTATCATTAACAAAACAAGTAGAGTTATTGGTGAAGTCACAAACAAAAGGAGCACATGCAGTGGTAATTGGCCCATCTTGCGAAAACTGCGGGGCAAATCACCTAACATAAAATTGCACATCTATGGGCTTTTTGGAGGAACAAGTCAACTTCATTCAAAATAGCTCTCGAAATTTTAATCCCTTTTCACAAACATATAACCCAGGATGGAGGCAACACCCAAACTTCAGATGGTCAGATAATCAGCAAGAGAGCAGTTCAAACAATAACCAGCCAGAGAAAAAATCAAGTTTGGGAGAGATGTTCAACCAATATATGCAGAAGATAGACAAGATGTTCCAACATACTGACACTAACTTTCAGAATCAGCAAGCATCCATTAAGAAGCTGGAAATTCAAATTGGTCAGATTGCTCAACAGCTTGTAGAACGTCTACAAGGAACATTGCCAGGCAACACAATGGTCAATCCAAAAGAGCAAGTGCAAGCTATTACGACTAGAAGTGGAGTGCAACATCCAGAGATTCATGTGAAGAGACCAGACAGTAAAGACAAAGAAGTAATGGGTGAAGAGGCTGGGACAGAAGCAGAGTCTGAACAACCAACTAACGAGGAGGATAAAAGGAAAGAAACACCCATAGTGAGAGCACCCAGCCCTGTGAAAGCTTATGTGCCACCAATTTTCTTCCCTCAGAGGCTACAGAGAAAGACGTTGGACAAACAGTTTGCCAAGTTTGTGGAGATTTTCAAGAAACTGAACATCAATATTCCATTTGCAGATACAATTGCCCAAACGCCCAGCTATACTAAATTCTTGAAGGAGATCCTGTCTAACGAAAGAAAGTTGGAAGAACATGAGACAGTCTGCCTAAACGAGGAGTGCAGTGCAATTCTATTGAAAAAGCTACCTCCTAAACTAAAAGACCCATGGAGTTTCACGATACCTTGCACAATTGGTTCTCATTATTTTGGACATTCTTTATGCGATTTAGGCGCCAGTGTTAATTTAATGCCTCTCTCTGTTTACAGGTCTCTTGGATTGAGAGAAGCAAAACCTGCAACAATCTCATTGCAACTGGCTGACAGATCAATCAAACGATCAAAGGGGATTATTGAAGATGTGCTAGTCAAAATTGATAAATTCATTTTTCTGGTTGACTTCATCGTATTGGACATGGAGGAGGATTCAAACATCCATCTAATCTTAGGAAGACCCTTCTTGGCTATCGGAAGAGCGCTAATTGATGTTTACGATGGAAAGATGATTCTTCGGGTGGACAATGAGCAAGTCATATTCAACATATTCAAGGCAATGAAACATCCACTGACCTCAGACACCTGCTGTCGATAGGGATGTCAAACGGGTTGAGCGGCTCGTCGGCTCGGTTGCTCGGCTCGTTAAAACCCAACTCATGGGTGGCTCGGGCTCGTCAAATAACGAGCCCGAGCCTGAGTCGAGCTTTGACGAGCGCGAGCCTGAGTCGAGCAGGGGGCTCAATCCCACGAGCCATTTTGACAAGCCCATGAGCCGAGCTCGTGGGTTCGTCCAAAAATATGAATTTTTTTTTAAAAAAAGGTGCAAAAAAGTGCAAAAAAAATTTAAAAATTTTAAAAAACACGAGCTCTTTGTGAAGCAAAAATTGCACAATCGGGAGCAACAAGTGCAGAAAAAACTGAACATGTCGTCAACTTGGCTAAGCAACCAATAGGAAGAAGACATTAGCAGTATGAATCTCTTGGTGACAACCATTCACTCCCAGTGCCTTCAGTAGAAAAGGCACCCACTCTTGAACTAAAGCCCTTGTCTTCACATCTCTGTTATACATATTTGGGATAATCTACAATACTTCTAGTAATAATTGTAAATGACATGACAATGGAAGAGGAGAATAATTTGTTGGAGGTACTCAAGCAGCACAAAACGGCAATTGGATGGACAATAGCTGACATCGGAGGAATAAGTCCAACTCTTTGTATGCACAAGATTTTAATGGAGGACGGGTCAAAGCCATCAGTGGAAGGACAACGTAGATTAAATCCAACCTTGAAAGAAGTAGTGCGAAAAGAAGTGATGAAATTTTTGGATGCAGGTATTATCTATCCAATCTCTGATAGTTCATGGGTGAGTCCAGTACATGTTGTGCTAAAAAAGGGTGAAATCACAGTGGAGAAGAACGAGAACAACGAGCTGATACCAACACTGTTAGTAACAGGGTGGAGAATATGTATAGATTACTGAAAGCTAAACAATGCAACCAGAAATGATCATTTTCCATTGCCATTCATTGATCAGATGTTGGAGAGGTTGGCTGGTCATTCTCATTACTACTTTCTGGACGGATACTTTGGTTATAATCAGATAGTTATTGCTCCAGAAAACGAGGAGAAAACAACCTTCACATGTCCTTATGAAACTTTTGCGTTTAGAAGAATGCCTTTTGGGTTATGAAATGCACCCGCAACCTTTCAACGGTGTATGTTGGCCATATTCTCTAACATGATGGAAAAATAGATCGAGGTATTCATGGATGATTTTTCTGTGTTTGGAGATTCATTTGATGACTGCTTGGATTGGTTGGCTCATATATTGCAAAGATGTGAAGAGAAGAACCTAGTGCTAAATTGGGAAAAATATCATTTCATGGTAAAAGAAGAGATAGTGCCGGGCCACAAGATTTTCTCAAAGGGCATTGAAGTTGACAAAGCCAAAATACAAGTGATTGAAAAATTGCAGCCTCCTAATTCAATTAAGGGGATCAATAACTTCTTAGAACATGCAGGGTTTTATAGAAAGTTCATTTAAGATTTCTCAAAAATTACAAAACCTCTATGTAATCTATTGGAGAAAGATGTGCCATTTTACTTTTCTGATGAGTGCTTAAATGCCTTTAACACTTTGAAAGAAAAGTTAACTTCTGCACCTATAATAGTAGCACCTGATTGGGATCTACCTTTCGAACTTATGTGTGATGCTAGTGATTTTGCAATGGGAGCGGTGCTTGGCCAACGTAAAGGCAAAGTGTTATATGTAATCTACTATGCCAGCAAAACCTTGATAGATGCTCAGATCAATTATGCAACAACAGAAGAAGAGATGCTAGCAGTGGTATTTGCCTTCAACAAATTTCGTTCCTATCTGATTGGTTCAAAGGTGATAGTCTACACTGACCACGCAACATTGAAATATCTATTTGAGAATCTGTTTGAGAAGACGGATGCTAAACCTAGGCTGATTCGATGGGTTCTGTTACTGCAAGAGTTTGAAATTGAAATTTGCGACAAAAAGGGTACAGAAAATTAGGTAGCGGATCATTTATCAAGGCTGGACAACTGCGTGATTCAGAGGACATGGATATTAATGAGGTCTTCCCAGATGAACATTTATTGCAAACAGAGAAGGTTCCATGGTATGCAGACATTGTTAATTACTTAGCTAGTGGCTATATGGATCCTAATCTTACCTATCAGCAGAAAAAGAAGCTGTTTCATGAAGCGAAATTTTATTATGAGGATGATCCAAATTTATACAGGAGAGGGGCGGACCAGATCATTAGGAGATTTGTACCAGAGGATGAGATGAAACCTATCCTTTCACGGGTTCCTGCTTCGATTTATGGAGGACACTTTGGCCCCACTAAAACAGTAGCAAAGGTGCTTCAATGTGGTTTCTTTTGGCCTACACTGTTCAAAGATTGCCACAGTTTCTGCAGGTCGTGTGATAAATGTCAAAGAACAGGTAACATATCAGCGCGTCACGAGATGCCACTTAACAACATTTTGGAGGTGGAAATATTTGATGTTTGGGGGGTTGATTTTACGAGTCCTTTTCCTTCATCTTATAACAATCGGTACATCCTAGTGGCAGTGGATTATGTCTCTAAATGGGTAGAAGCTAAAGCCTTGCCTACAAATGACGCAAGGGTGGTGGTGGACTTTATAAAGAAACATATCTTTAACTGCTATGGATCACCTAGGGCCATAATAAGTGATGGTGGAACTCATTTCCGCAATTGGTTATTCCAGGCAGTGCTACATAAGTACATGGTACAACATCGAATTGCCACTCCTTACCACCCTCATACAAGTGGATAGGTGGAAACCTCGAACAGACAATTGAAAAGAATTCGGAGCTCACTGTGAATACATCTCGCAAGGATTGGTCAAAGAAATTAGACGATGTTTTATGCGCATATCGCACTGCGTACAAGACACCTATTGGGATGTCCTCATATCGACTAGTCTTTAGAAAAGCATGTCACCTACCAGTGGAGTTTGAACATAGAGCATACTGGGCATTGAAGCAGTTAAACGTGAACCTCTAAAAGGTTGAGAAACAAGAATACTACAGCTACATAAATTGGAAGAATTCAGAATAGAAGCATATGAGAATGCAAGCAGTGGCATGACAAAAATATCAGGCAAAGAATTTTTAGAGTGGGAGATCTAGTGCTTTTATACAATTCCAGATTTAAACTGTTTCCAGGAAAGTTGAAATCTAGATGGTCCGGCCCTTTTACGGTCTCTCAAATGTTTCCCTACGGTACAGTTGAATTACACTATCCAACAAAAGGAAACTTCAAAATAAATGGCCAACGTATCAAGCACTACGTGAAAGATTTCTCCATCACTAAAGAGAGCCTTGACCTAGCTGTACCAGAATAATAGCAGTACAAAGTCCAACTAATGACTTAAAAGAAACGCTTATTGGTAGGCAATCCAATTTTCAAATTTTTTTTATTATTTTACTTTTTGTATCGCATAGCATATAATCTTGTTTTGGTTACTAGTTTGCATTAGCTTTGGCACGTTTCAATTTTTAGGAGTTATCACCCATATCCCTTCCGCCCTTAGGCCATTGAATTTATTGTTGATTATTTTGATTATTTGAGCTAAGTAACCCTTGTTTCCTATCTTTAATTTATCAAATTTGATTTTTCAGGAATATGACGTCGTGGAACACTCAAACCAACATAGATCCAAAGGAAAGCATGATGAAGAATATTATCTAGTCGTCTCACATAGTGCCTCACACATTCAACAGAAAAATTTGGGGAGTACCTTCTTCTTTTTCTTCCCTACCCCCTTTATGTGCTTATTTATGTTTTATGACATTGAGGACAATGTCAATTTTCAGTTGGGGGGTGCAAAAAAATGTTTAATTTTTTTTTCATGTATTTACATGTGTTTGTGTGTTTGTTTAAAAAAATTAAAATTAAAAAAATGAAAAATAATATAAAAAAAATTCTTTTATTTAGTTGTGTGCTTGTGTGGGTTAGACACTCTAGTTGACTATACTAATTTAATTTGAGATTTGGTATTGATTTATGAATTATGGATGAGATGCATGCTAGACTAATTGAAGCTTAACCTTACAAAATTTGATATTATACTTGTACTAGAATTGAGTTTGACATTATGATGAAATGAGTTATTTTGTGTTATTGATAGGTTGATTTAGTTGGACTTAGATGTTTTACCTAAATCATATTAAATTATTTATCTTTAGACCAAATTTAGCACAGTTTGGGGGTGAATTTACAGTGTAGGAAAATACGGATGTGAATATGGATTCCATGTGTGAAAATGTATGTGTGGATTGTCTTAGACCAACATGATAAAACTTGGTGAAAGTTTTAAGTTGAAGGTCGGTTTGTTTGAATAAGTGTATGATAAGGGGCATTGCACTAATCAAGGCATATATTTTGAAATTTAAAGACTTCTCTCTAAAGCCTGTATGACTCGAGTAATTAAGCCTGCAAGGGTATTTTAAAATTTGGTGCCCTAAAGTCGTTTGACTTAGGAGTTATCGGCCTAAAGCTCACTAAAGGGGTCATTTACAAAGCAATCAGAGATGAAGTTGCACTTGAAAAAAAAATTTCCCTTCGAAGCCTTTTTGACTCGGGTCATTAAGGCTGTAAGGGTGTTTAAAACTTGGTGCCCTAAAATCATCTGATTTGGGAGTCATCGACCGAAAGCCTGCTACATAGGGCATCTAGAAAGCTTAACGGAGGGAAAATAAAAAATAAAAAAATATATATGAAAGGGACAAAAGCAAGTGCATGAAAAGAGCAGAAGCACTAAATACCTTGGTTAAGTCCCAACACTTATTTGAGGGAATTTGACTTTCGATAAAGGATAATTAGCCTAGTTGAGTTTTGGAGGTCGAATCAATCAAATAATTAGAGAATCCCTGTTCACTGAAGTGTTGACTTGCAACTCGTAATGCCTACCCGAACTCGAGATGGTGAGGATAGTAATGAAATATTCAACTTTAGATTACACACTGAAAAAAGTGAAAAGAACAAGTTTGGGAGTGTGTGAATCTTACGAGAGATGAAATGACATATTTGA